ACACAAAATTGGCCACATTACTCCAACAAACAACTTGCATTGATCCTCCGGGATAAATTAGGACAGCAGTTGAGGATTCAAGCACAATTAGAACTAAATTATAAAGTTTACACAACTTAAGTTTAAGAGGAAAAAACTCAGACAAGAACCTCACAAAACTTTGATGCTAACATGCTTTAGCTTCACCTGAAGCACCTATAAAACAGTTGCAGGTGTCAAACTTGCTATGCAGCGCTGACTTAACGGTCCATTCATGTTTCATGCTTTGTTCAGGTCTCACTACAATAACTGCCAAGATCTGAGAACCAACTAATCCTTCAAGCTGTAAAGACAAATGAGAGAAAATACAGATTTTTCATAGGATGGACATTTTTCAGGGTGTGTTTTATGGATATTTTTGTCATTTTTCTCCACAAATAGAGGAATATGACTCAGCATATTTACTAGGGATTTGTTTTGATCTGTGATAGCAAAGATTGAAAACAATGCTACTCTTAAAGTGATTAAAACATGGATATTGCAGAGGATCACAGTGCAGGGAGCAAGTTTATCTAAATAGACCATAGAGGTTTACCTCTATTCCTGCAGTTATTGTAACACCACACTATTTATGTTTTAAATAACAGCCATTGCTGGTAAACACCCTTAATCTCCATCCATATGTGTTTATCTCGGTGTAAAACAGAGGTACCTACCAGGATTTAGGAACAACTGCTGGTGACGCGAGAAAAGCCAATATGGTTGATAAACAGTGTTTCAAACAGTGTTTATTAATTCAATTGAAAACAGAGTGAATGCTGCTCTTTGCAGTGTTATAAACTATGTGAGACTGGATTTTTATCTATTTTATTTTATGATCAACATTGCTGCACGCATGCATTTGAGTAGAGTCAGAAGTCCAGGTGTGCAAATGAAATTGTGGAACAGCAGGTAAGAAAACGTAAAAGGACAGTTTACTGCAGACAATGTTTGTCCTGAAATTTCTAAAACGGCATGTGTGAGTCCAAACAGTTTAAGGATAAATGAGGGTAATGACTGCTGACAGCAATTTGAGCTGAGCAGTTTAAACACCAATCAATACAAGGTCACATTCCTCTTCTAGTACACCCAAATCTCTGCAGGTGTGTGTGTGTGTGTGTGTGTGTGTGTGTGTGTGTGTGTGTGTGTGTGTGTGTGTGTGTGTGTGTGTATAGTAGCCCACTGAGCTCCCCACAACATCAGTGGGCTTTACAACTTTTTGACAGAAATTGAAAATTTGTGCGATAGAAGAAGGAAAATAGCAAAAATGGAGAGAGCAGAGAAGGGTCTGCATGAGACGCTGCTGCATATAAATGTCACAACATATATCTGAAAATAGGCCTTTGAGATGCAACTTGTCTGCACTTGAGTTTCCTCTGGGTGAGTTCAAGTACAATGCATGTCCTGAATGTCTCAAAAGTTACCTGTAAACACAAGAGGAATAGGCGTAAAATGTAGGATATCTGCTTCTGTTAACTTCTCACAGTGCTGCAGGTCCCTGGTTTAAAGCTGTGGAAAACTCATTCAACCAATACATTCCTAGTGGTCTCTAGTAGGAAATGCTTTCTAAATCATACTCTGGGGAGGGGGGAGGGGGAGCCCTGGCACAGGAATTAGAAGTGAGTCACAACAGAGATGAACTTCAGACAACAGAATTTAAAATCTTAGTTCCTGATATTTGGACATCTCACCTCTGATTGGCTAACAGCATGACACCTCCGCTGACTACCACTACCACTGAATTTGCTCTGCAATCTTGAAGTTTTATCTCCACAAATAACACACGCCTGAAGTAGCTGCTGTGTGCTGGAGTTGCTAATGCTAACAGTTAGCTTCTTCTAGCTGAGAAGTTCTCTGAGGTTTCCTGTACGCTAAACCAACAGCAGCCTTCCCCGTCGTGAGTCAAGATGGGTCTATGACAGTGTGACGTAGATCTGTCAGGCTTTTCTAGTCGTCTATTTTCTATCAGAAGCTAAAGCAGGAGATAGGTGTAGGAGACTATTTTCATGTTCAGCCTGCATGAATAACTCAGGGTGACCGATTGTAATCAGAAATATTCATTAAAAAACACACTTTTTGTTTGTTCTACACCGTTAATCAATTACTTTAAAAGAGAAGCTTTCCTTTCACAAAAATGAAAATAAATAAATAAATAAATGAAACCGATCAGACGTTAAGGTTGCGATAATTTGCTGCCATTTTGTATATAAAAGTTATGAATCAAATCAAATCAACTTTATTTATAAAGCACTTTCACATGCCCAAAACGGACAAACAAAGCGCTGTACACCAATAACAAGCACAACAATAAAATAGATATATAACCATTTAAAATATAAGAAATCCTGAGTACAAGTTCGCAATCCATATCAGTCCTGTTTCCAGAATCAGATCCAGACACATTCAAAGTGATGCTGCCCACGCAATCCCAACTTCACTGTCCAAACGCCAACGAGAACAGATGTGTTTTTAGTTGGCTTTTAAAGGTCTCAAGTGATTTGGCCTGCTTTACGTGGGCTGCCAGCTCATTCCAAAGACTTGGTCCGAGCGCTGAAAAGGCACGTCTCCCACGAGACTTCAAGCTGTACCTGGGCACAGTTAATAGTCTCTGGTCAGCTGACCTAAGGGAACGCACCGGGACATGTCGGTGGATGATGTCAGAAAGGTATTTAGGTGCCCCTGAGTTTAACACCTTAAACACAAACAGGATTACCTTAAACCTGATGCGATAGGAGACAGGTAGCCAATGCGAGACGTGTAGAACTGGCAGATAACTCCCTGAATGTTCTCTGTGGGTGTTGGGCAGGACTGATTAGCTAACGGCAAGTCTGAAACACTGCCTTTGGAAAATGGCTCCAATCAATTTCCATGGGGATTTAATTTAATTGATCATTTTATAAACCAAACACTGCTATAATCTTTACATTTCAGCTTTTTAAACTGAATTGTATGGTTATTACATTTTCTCACTAAACAACTGACGATGGCGTAAAAGTGTATTAAACAATGTTTGCATGAACCACCATGAAGTTTAGGAGATTCATCTGTCTGAAGCCGCAGTAGGATTGCAACGGTCTTTGGAGTTGGGTCCCAAATTCAGAGATTAGCTGCAGTCGTCTCAAAACCGGTTCAATCCACATAACTTCAGTTTAGACGGGAACTATTTCAGCATTACACCACTATGTAAATATTTGGTGACAATAAATCAAACATATAATTTGATCAATTATCTGACTTTACTCTTTTTAATAATGCAAAGGCAACTTTTAAAGTCCTATGATGAAGAAACTGGAATCAAACTGAAAACCTCTCAGCTGGTAGACATGTCACTAATATTCCTGAGCCCCAGTTGCTCCGAATCAAATATGTTATTGTTGCAGAAAGGTTTAGTACAGTAAACCAATGAACCTATTTCATTTTTTAAGATTTTCAATTGTCGGCGAAGAGAAAGAACAGACGTTCACCAAGGGCTGCATTCCATTCCTGCAGCGGTGTGTGCTGTGTTTCCATAAAAACGCAAATAAAGCAATACTCAATGAAACGCAGGCATCTTCAATACACACAAATACATTCCTATAACTAGCGGTTAGTCCAGATCAGTAGCAGCAGCACACAACATGTGCTACACAAATGCTTTTATAAAACAGAAAAATACAGTTTTTCACAGAGTAAGTCACTGCTAGCTAATTATCATAACCGCACTTGACTAAATGCTAAGAAAGCCATTTAACAGCAATTTGTTGATTAATATGAAGCCTTTATTGTCTTCTTTGTCCTCCACTTGCATTGCAGGTATACTTAGCGGTGCTAGCTGTAACACTAAAACAGTCTAAACTGTCTAATTCCTGGAGTACAGATGCAGTCCTTTGAATACTGACAGGAAATTGTTTTGAACTAGCTCTGGTGGTCATGTTGACATGGACTTGATTACATTTCATGTCTATAGAACAGGAATAGTGAAAATCTGATACATTAGTGAAGATTTGTGCACTTTCTATTGTTCATTTTGACACTGTTACCTAACTCTAACCATCACTGGGTGGGAGACACCATGGGCAGGTCGCAAGTCCATCACAGGTCACCATTGTTCCAACAAATTCCAACAAAGTACCCTGAGAAACCCACACATGCATGGGGAAAACATGAAAACTCCACACAGAAAGCAGGAATTCAAACCTGTTACCTTCAGCCACCAGCCCTAGCCCAGTTTCACCTAAAATCCATGTTTTTTGACCTGTGGTAGAAAACGAGAGTACTCCCCAACCCATAGAGAGCACATGCCCTTAGTGTTTCATACTATCACTAACATGCCTTTGTCTTCTTTATTTTAAATACAGAGAGCAGGTTGCACTAAATCCTACGTATATCATTTCTAGGACCGCTGCTAAAGTGCATAAATCAATGAAGTCTTATTTTACTGCCCTGATAAGTCACAAGCCCTCTGTTTATTATCATCACCTGCTGCAGAGTAAGTAATGGAGAGCAAAGCATAAATAACGGGGCAGTAAATGCAATTTTTTCTGCTCCACACAGGTTGAAAGAGCCAACAAGTAAATTATAAATTTCCCAAACAACTAGGATTTTTATTCCGCCCTTATTTCATCACGGCAAACATTTCCATCAAACTGCTGCCCGTTGGGAAGCGTTTTTAGCCCCACGCTCAAACTGATGCTGCAAATTACTTGTGACAGAAGCAATTTTGGGATATTTTCTCAAACACAAACTGCAGTAATAGTTATGAATTAGATTATGTGAGGGAAGATTGAAAGTCAGATTCTTTCTCTGCAAACTCACCAGCCTTAATTGTGGATTAATTTTATCTTCTCTCCCATTCTGCCTATTTGAGATCCTTTTTTTGCACATTTAAAATGCATATCGAGCAAAAAAACAGTCCCGAGATGTGTTGTGTGTGCAGGATGAGTTACCATACTGTGCATTACTGATGATGCACCTGTTTCCCATCTCATGCGAGTATCTCATACCTCTCTGAGACAGCCCATGAAATTGTTGCTAACTGGAGATCCTGGCAGGTCCGCGGTGCTGGGGCTCCCACCCACATAGAAGAAATCGTCAGAGCCCAGCATGGTGTAGTCTTCCTGAGTGTAGCCAGTGGTGGTGAGGATCCCGTCGACGGAGATCGTCACCTGTTGGAACGTAACACATAGCCAAAGCCATGCCATTACACTCTGGGATTTGTTCATGTGCTGTCTACAAAGACACACGCCCCTCTTTGGTCTGCATTTGAAATAAATTTATGACTCTTATTTTAGACTTTTCTGTTTAAGTTTCTTTATTTGACTGTTTATGAGTCATTAAGTACGTTGAGATGATTTTTCTTTGGACCAGACAGCGTTTAGATTTTGTTAATGGAATTTTTGCCAAAGGATTCACAGAACAGGTAAAGAAAATATGGCACCGGCATATTTTCTTTATCTTTGATGGGGGTAAGAAAATGGATCCTAGGTTTGACTCTGCAACTTCAGGTTGGGGGAGGGTTAGTACAATGTTCAAACCAAGGACAAATTGATTCCACTTGTCTTAGGTTTCAGGATTTATCCGTTAACTGCAGACACACACGTATACATTACATGTTTGTGAACGCACACAAACACACGCACGCACACATTTGCACGTCTTCATTCACAGATTCTCACACCATCTCGCACACTCTCCTCTCTTCTGAACATCTACATCTGTTTATCCACGCACATGCAAAACAAAGGGAGGCTTTTCACACTACATCGATGTGCAAACAAAGGGCATTGCTCTTATAAGGCAAATAAAGACACTTAACTGAACGTGGGAGTACGTGGTTCTATGGTGGCATACGAAGCTGGAACATGCACACGTGAAGCTCATGCAAGACCAGAGTTCAGACACGGACATATTCACAGAGCAGCAAATGCTGATCCCTGATAGGTTTAGCTCTAGTGCCACGATCATATGGTCAGTGTCACTGGATCAGACCAGTAATCCTCGATCAGCACGCTTGTTCTTTGAAATGTTACACGTATGAACCCAGGGGTTTTCACAACACACAAACCAACTTTCACCAGCATGCTACAAAAACACACACAGGCAAGACAAATGAGTGGCAGGTGAGTGGATGAATTAGTGTTAGTGGTTATTCTTGGTGGCAGGGCTATAGGAGGTTATGAGTTTGGTTGATGAAGTGTGGGCATGCCATGCGCCATAGTGAGTTGGAAACAACTGTCAGAGCTCCCGCAATATTTGAGGTTAAAGGGTTGCCTTTTTCTTTTTTTTTTCTTTTTTTTTTGGTGATGTGTCTTTTCGGGCTCGGTGTTGAGGTCACCAACTTGGAGATTGTGGTAAGCTTCTGTCAGTTCTTGACGACAGTCCTCACAAAAAATGGGGACTTCTTGTGTGGAAAAAAAGTTGAACAAAAAAGTAAGTTGCCCTGACAAAGGCAAAGAAGTTAATCTTTTTTTTTTTCCTTTTTTAATTAAACTGGTTGGTAATCTGCCGTAATGTGGAGGAAACAAAGAGAAAAAAGTCAAAGCCAAAGTGGAAAGAACAGTATGAGGGGATCGTGGGGTGAAGAAGGGGGAAGGGGGAAGTTGTTGGCAGGTCAGGGGAGAAAATTCAGAAGAAGCGAAGAAAGAATTGCCTGGTAATACAAACCCATCTCCTCATTTTTTGATAAGAGTGTCTAGGATGGAACTCAAAGAGAACGAATAAAAGAAGAGAGGGGGAGGGGACACACGGCAAACCCAAAAAAAAGACAATAAGAATGATATCTACCAGACAATGTAGTTTGTTTACCATAGCGTGTCCAATGCCTGATTGCTTTCCAGAAAAAGGGGAAGAAAGGAAATCAACAGAATAGTGAACAAAAAAGGTTGTTAATAAGGATGGACAGAAAACAAAAACCAAAAACAACGATGAAGAATTAGGATGTTAGTTAGTACATTAGTTGGTTAGATATTGGTTATTAGTAAAAAAAATGGCTTTTTATCATGGATGAGTTAGTGAACGGTGAATAAACACTACGTGATTTGTAAGATTAGCAGCATTAGTTAAGTGCTGTGGCACCATCCGAGGAAAACCATTTTAACTACTCAATACTAAACAAGTCCTGTCAGATGTGGGACTTCCAGATCAATGTTTGCATAGGATTGCTTGAATTCCAACAAAGACTGCAGTGTTTTTCCACCTTTTGCTCCTTTATAAGACGAAAGAAAATGACAGAGAAAGATAGAGAGAGATCTGTAGGGGAAAAGAAGAAAGCCCAGCTCTTGTACAGATCAACACCCGTGTCTTCTACTGTTGAGAATTCCTGCCGCGACTATCTGCTAACCTGTGAGACAAAGACTTCCTGTCAAAGAGGGTCAAAAAATCGGTACTTACTTGTTGTTCTGCTCTGGTGGCAACGCTAAACGCTGTCCCACCTGACAAACTAAAGGTCAACCGGGACATGATCTGCAACTAGCCTCATGCACCACTAGGCCTTTCTTCAGATGTTCATACCATCTTCCTAGAGCCTCGAAAAGACTCCTGATTCATGCTCTCTCCACTGAACCGTAAACAACAAGCTAATTTTAAATAAGAACAGCTGGAAGCATAATTGTAAAGGAACAAAGAGTTAATGGATGGCTCGGTGGCAAACGTTCTCCGACGGGCTTTAAAGTAAAAGCTGTGGAGACGTAACGGCACTCAGTAGCCGTGTCAGCCTAGAGGGGCTGTGAAGTTAAATAATGCAATGTGATCATTGAGCTAAACACAACAAACGCTTGTTCAATAATCAGGAGCCAAACTAAGATCTGGCAAAACACAAATGCAGATATTAATATCATACGCCTGCTGCTGAACTAGTTTTAATAGCCTTTCATTCTGTATGAGATAAATAAAAGAATGGATATAAATTATGTCTCAATAATGTTTCCAAACTGTAGTGATGGAATGAATAAGGGTGACTTTCTTAATGCCCTCTCAAAAAGCTCTTGGAAGCAGCTATTCTACAGAAAAAAAAAAAAATGTCTCCAAAGTCCATCCTTCACCGTTACCCCCGATTACCTGTCTCAGGTTGCGTGTCACTTTGATGTCATGCCAGGAGTTGTCGTTGAATTTTCCATTGACCGGCTCCACGATGGCCTCGAAGGCCCCGGAACCCAGATTGATGACCAGGGAGACGGCGCCATCCTTCAGCGCCAAGTTCACGTAGTCTGCGGATTTCCCCGTGTGGAGGAGGAGACCGTTGCGTTGCCAGGTCTTGAAGGAGAGCGTGATCTCGTCGCTGCTGCTCTGAATGGGATTCTGCGACAGGTCGTAGCAGAAGAACTCCGAGCCTCGGAAGGTGGCCACGTTCTCTTCCCTCGCTGAAATGACATGAAAAGGACCCCTGTTGGTTATTATCGGGTAAAAAATGACATCATACAAAATAAAATGGTGAAGCAGAAGAAAAATCTGAGAATCTCCAAGATTATGTCATATGTTCACATGAAAGATTCATATATTTAAAGATACGTTTGCAAAAAAAAGCTGACATTCATTTATGTGAAAAACAAACAAATAAAAACTTCTACATTTTGGAGTCTTTAAATCAGCAGTGCAGTCTTCAGTTCATTTTGAGATCATTTACTAAAATGTTTGTGGGATTAAAAACTGAAGGAGAAAAAAATCTCTGAGGACAACGTCATGAATGCTCATCAAGGATTCCATGTAAGTTGTACAATTTTAGAAATTTCAGAAATGTGTGAATATTTTCATTGAAAAAGGGTACTTCCTAAAAGTTCTTTGACATGTTGAAGTACTTACTTATATGGAACATTAACATGAGTTTATTTTATAAATACATAAAAATATTGACAACAGCAATGATAATCATAATAATATGAATAAAAATAATAACATTTGTTGTTGTAATTAGCAGCCTTATTTTTAAATAAACAAATAAGCATGTATGTAATTACACCATGATCATTCAGCATGTTACTTATGGCCTGCCTTTTTGTGCTTGGATTCTAATTAGTCAAGCCCGGGTCAGACCCCACAGCGCAGTGAGGAGACAGCCGAAGCTCCATTCCTGCACCCAGCCAACGACCCTCACTAACAACTACAAGACTTGTCATCCAAACACACACCTTTAATACCATACCCCAATATGTTGAAATAGCAACCAAATAACAATTATAACCTTTGTTTTGAATTCTGCATGTTTGTCACTAAACAAACAAACGTCTATATTGAAGATGACACACACACACACACACACACACACACACACACACACAGAGAGAGAGAGAGAGAGAGAGAGAGTTCGCTTCTCACCATAATTACAGCTTGGATATACCCATCATTCAGTTGAGATCATCAAATCCTGTCTGTATGACCGTGGGTTTGGGTTTCACATAGAGCCTCTAGACAGACAGGCTACTTATGATGGAACACTATTCCTCGCTAATGGCGTACATAAATCAAACATAGTCTGATTTTACAGTTTTGCATGACTCTGTTGTTACAAAATGACTTCCTGAGCCCGCTTTTATTCTCTTAACATCAGCACGTAAAGTAAGGTGAGACAACGGGATCTGGGGACAAGAGTAAAAATAACGTTGCCGGGCTGACGAAAAGTGAAGAAAGGGTGAGACAGCAGGGTATGATTTCTGTGTGATATGTGATGAAATAAATGGCAGCTTTTGATGATGGTTCCTGATTAGTTTAGTTCGGAGCGGATCCATTACCGACAAGGACACAGCGTCCAGTGCTTTCAGAAGTTTCAACCTTCACTAGAAGACCTGATAAGAAACTGTGTGCTGCTGCTTTCCTCAGCTACAGTGAACATATCATTACCGTCCACAGCAAATAACACTCAATGACTCATTTTATTTCCGCTGTGTCCTGCAATTTTGTTTGTGCGGACATGATAGAGAGAACAGAAAAGACACATGAGAGGGAAAATGAGAATTGAAAAGGACAGAGTGCTGTAAAGCTTCCGTTTGTTGTGCTGGATCAGGCAATATGTAAACATGAGGGAGCGGTGTTTGTGGAGCTGGCACCGATACAGATGGATGGAAAAATGAGAACGTAAACACAGCAAGGGAAACAAATGGAAGCGGAGTGAGGCTGTGGGATGATGGGACACAACTTCCAGCCATGGAAAAATCCTCCCCTTAGTATCAAACTGTAGTCTTGATACAACAAAGAGACACAAGGAAATAGTATGGCAGGCAACAAAAGACAGCCAAAGCCTCAGTGGCTGTGCCAGGTGAATAAATAGAAACCGTTTATTAAAGCTGAGGAAGAGCAACACAGAGAGACATGGGAATCCACATTCAGAGGATGAAAATTCCTCCCATCTTTACTCATTCCCACATTCTAAGAAAATACATATGTGGAAAACCAGCTAATTACGCTCCTAACGCACTCGAACGTCTGTGCTGGACCTCACGCATTTCCTCAATGTCTAACACGTCAGGTGCATCTTCTCTGGCAGAGCCATCTAAAAAAATGTTCTAAGCAATTAATGAAATGTTGATTTGTATGTCAGCGATGTGGTCAACCTGTCTCCTTGTTTCGAACGGTATCACTGTGCCTCCAAACCAGTGGCACACCAAGTTTCCCGTAATTCAATTCAATTTTATTCATATAGCGCCAGATCACGACAAGAGTCGTCTCAAGGCACTTCACATAATAAACATTCTAATTCAAGTCAGTTCATTAAGCCATTCAGAAATAATGTTTCCTTTATAAGGAACCCAGCTAATTGCATCTTTACAGCAATCCTCATACTACGCAAGCATAAAGCGACAGTGGAGAGGAAAACTCCCTTTTTAACAGGAAGAAACCTCCAGAGAATCCTGGCTCAGTATAAGCAGCCATCCACCACGATTCACTGGGGATCGAGAAGACAGAGCAGGCACACACACACACACACACACACACACACACACACACACACACACACACACACACACACACACACACACACACACACACACACACCAGTGTGTATTCTATTTGGTGAGGGATAAACCATATTGTATTTATCCTAGTGAATCTATAATTAAACGGATAAACTAGTAGTAGCATATCCAACGTCAAGGAAAGCAAAAAGTTATTATCAGGAGAAGGAGAATGTTTAAGTGGTTAGCATCAGTGTGCTAGACGATGGTCCCCTCCATGAGGCCATCACAGCTCAGCAGAACATTGTTGTATTTTCTTCTGGGAAGAAAAACACTTAGAGAGAAAATAAAGGTAACAGCTGAAATTGCAGAAAATAATACAGTTAAAGAGCAGATTGTAGAAGAAAGTAGTAGAGTGTGAAAAGTGGTCAGTGTATCCTCCAGCAGTCTAAGCCTATAGCAGCATAACTACAGAGAAAACTCTGGATAATCTATCCTATTTAGATGGAGGCAGGGCAAGGGAGAGACGTCTTTACCGACTGTATACTCCACCTCCCTGTACTTCCCCACTTGTCCAGATTTAGGCTAATATCAGATTTTACCATAGGCCCTATCAAATCAGAATCAGAATCAGAATAAGCTTTATTGCCAGCGCTCCAGCAACCCAGAGCATAGGAACTTGACTCCGCAACACAACCTGACCAAGGTTAAACAGACACACGTAGACAAAAACAGGTACAGGCAGTCACGAGAGCAGCCAGAACGGCGCTCATTTCATTGGATGAAAAGGGTGTTACATGAGGATAATTGGGGTAAGGTAAAAAAAAAAGGCATAGCAGAGTTAGACCCAGCGGGGAGTAACTCTATTATACCAAAAAACTCCTCAACAAACTGTTCAACACCAAATAAACTGCGTGCGAACTCATGGTTCCCTAAAAGCTAGGTGGAACAACAGAAAATGTGTGTTTTAGCATGCTTATGTGCTACAATAACTCAGAGATATCCTAGTACAGAGAAATTAAATCAGTTTTAGCGAGCCCCAAACACCCAACAGCTACACGTAGTGCAACACTGAAAACAGGAACCGCCTTACCGCCAGGTGCAGCCAATCAGCCCACATAGAATCATGTAAAGGTCAACTGTACTAATATTGTCTATACATTTGTAGTAGTCTCTAATAGGAATGAATGCCTTGTAAGCCATCGTCTGAGAAAACAAGGCTCCAGTACACCTGCCTTAGGATGCAGTCAGCCGGAAGAGAAAGTAGCTTCAGACGGCAGGAGTTGGACTCTTATTTCCTGATATTTGGACATCTTGCCTCTGATTGGCTACCAGCCAAGCAACTGACTCTGTTCTGCCCTGTTGATGTTTTTTCTCTACAAATAGCACAAGCCTGAAGGAGTTGCGTTGTGTGGTGGAGTAGATAATGCTAACGGTTAGATTCTACTAGCCAAGACGTAATCTGATGTTTTCTGGAAGCAAAACCAACAACAGCCTTTCTCGTCGTGAGTCCAAGATGGGTGAGTCCGTGAATGTTAAGTAACAGTGTGACATAAATCTGTCAGGTTTTTCTGAACCGAGCGTTTCACCATCTATTTCCTATCAGAAGCTAATGCGGGAAACAGGGTAGAAGGCTATTTTCACATTTTAAACTCACATTTTAATAAGGGATGCTTATCTGGATGTTGCAAGCTTCATTATATTTAAAGGGATGGCTTTACGAGCAGATTTTGGTATACAGGTTTGTAAAACTGTAGGTTACGCCAGGAACTCCCCAAAAAATAACCTGTGTTTGTGTAGACTCACACCAGTGCTATCCTTCCCATCTACTCCAGATACCTGATCTAACACTGCTCTCACCTGACCCCAAGACAGAGAGGTCATAGTCATGACAACCAAACTCATCTATCCTCGTCACTCTACTTAGTCTGATTACTGCCGCTCAAATTGCAAAAAAGTTCATGGTGGCATGATTGAATTATCTGAGGAGATCTTATTTAACATTTTGTTTATTTGCCTTCGATCAACAACATTAGAGCAAAGAAGAAAATGAAACCAAAACAGGAAAAGTCCCAAATTAGTAGTGTCCCAATCCCAGTAGGCAGTTCAGGTTGAAGTATAGGATACATTAAAATAACCAAGAAAACAGTTTTAGAATCAACGTGTCTCTAAATCAGACTCAGACCTTTGCATAAAAAGGGTATTTAATACATTTTAACACACAACAAGAAAGATGAATGATGTAACGTTATGAAGTTCATAATTTTCAGCTCCACACAGCTGCCCCTGTACACAGTAACACCCGTGTAGAAAACGCCAAGGTCTGGTGTTCCTCAGACTGTTTACATTCCAGGAGAAGAGCCAGAAGGAGAAGAAGAACGCTTTTCAGTAATCAAAGTACTTAATTTGTGATTAAAGCTAGTCGAAACAGATGTTGATCAATAATAATCAAGTGAATGATCTGTGGAATAAAG